AATCCCACCGCGGAGGCTCGCACCCCCACGCCCCCGCACCGTGCCCCTGCACCCGGGCAGCTACGGGTGGACCCAGCGCGCCCCGGCGCCTTCCCTCCCTCCGACAGGAACCGAGCAGGGGAGGGCAGAGGAGGCCCACCTTGGCCGCGTCGCTAGCTAAAGAGCAAGCCGACCTACCGTTGATCTGGTCCTGGGAAAGGAACTTGGCCTGGAGGAGCTCGGTAATAAATCCGCCGCTGCCATGGAGACCAGCGAGCTGGGTCGGGTTCCCCGTCCTCCTGCGCGCCGCCCTGGCGGGTGGGGTCGGGAGGAGCCGGACGTAGAGGCGCCTGGACCAGAGCAGGGGCCGGGGTGGGGCAGTCCTGGGCTGCGGGGTCTCTCTCTCTCTCTCCACCCCCTCCCCCGCCTGGGCTCCGCACTGTCCTACTGGTGGACCGGTGTAGACGGCCCGGCCTGCACAGCCTCGGGGCTGTAGTGCGGGGCACCTGCCGGTCACGCGCCTCGGGGGTGCCTGTCTCCTCCGCGGGCAGCAGGGCAGGGCTATCCGGAGGAGGTCCACAGGTGCCAGCTCCCTGCCCGGCTTCGAGGGACTCCAGGCGGGGGCGCGTATCAGGGTCCAGTCCCACGCCGGTAGGCAGGGCGCCTGGAATGGGGTTTCCGGGATGAGCCCGTGGCCAGGAAGCTTCCTCTTTTTCTTTTCCTCTCCCCCCAATCCTCACCCTACTTCCAGCGGTAGCCGCTGACACCCCGGGTCCTGAGCAGTCCTAAGCGGCTTGTGCTGCTCTGCTCCCTGAGAGCGGAAATGGGCGTGGGGCCCAGGCCCTCGAGGGGCCTGCTGGAAGGACTGCTCTCTGCTGTTTGGGATCCTATGACCCTTGATCCGCTGGTGGCTGGCTCACACCGAGGATCTGAATCCAGGCTTGGGTCCCCGGAGTCAGGGTGGTGCTGCGTGGTCAGCACCGAGGTGAGGGGGCTGCTCCTGGCCTGTGCAGAGCCCCCCATTGTGAAGGGGCACCAGGACAGGTCCACTCTCTCTTTCTGATCACCTCCATGGGGAACGTCCTCTTCCCCAGACTGTCCTGGGCCACCTCCCCCTGTCTCCGGAGTTGCACCTGTGTCTAGACAACTCCCCCCATCATTCCTTTAGGTTTATTCATCTCCTTTCATGGGGGCCGGGCACCCCCAGCTGGGCCTTCATGTTCATGTCAGGGTCCACACCCAGCACTGGGGCGGTGGCTATTTGAGGGTTCACCAACAGCAAAATCATCAAGCTGTTAATGTGTCCCGTGTCTGCGACAACTCACTTTGCACATATGAAGACACCTAAACGCCTCTGGCGTCTGCGAGTTGGTTTTTCCATGATAGAGCAGGGCATGTGCGAGAGACGAGCATCCCCCGGAGTCGGTCGTGCTGCGACCCCTTCCTGCAGCCCTCCAGCCCTGGGCTGTGGGCACTCGTATGCACGCCCGGCGTCTCAGGCTGTCCGGGCTGGAGACGCAAACCACGGCCCCCTTGTATGGTCCAGCTCCTCTGAGCACATGGAGCTAGCACTGTTTTTTTTTTTTTTCTTTATAAATGAATTAGGCACTTTCAAAAATAAAGAATGGTTTATTTATGTTTATTATTCTTCTTTTTCAATTTGTCCAAAGAGAGTGAGTGAGAAGGCAAGCCACCAGGTCTGGACCTTGAACCATGGTTGACCATGTGGGAGTCCATACCCCTAGCCAACACCTGCTGGCCCCTGTCGGTTCTTTTTTTCCATGAGAAGGACAGAGAGAGGCGGGCATCTCCATATGGTCTTCACATCTGACCCACCCCCAACCTCAGCCAGCCGGGACTCGGCGCACACGTGCACCCAGCGTGCTCCGAGGGGTCCTGAGACATGACCTGGGACCTTCCCATGTGGCCTCGCTTTGCGTCTTGTGTCACTGCTGTGCCTCCGGAGCTCGCCAGGGGCTGGGATTTTCTTCGCTTTGTTCTCAAACCCTGGCTTCACTTGGCTGCTGCTGATGCGTCCCCTGGGCACTGCCATGACCTCCTCTGCGTCCCATCCCACTTACTGCCCTGCTCTCTGGAGCCCCCAGGAGGGGTTCTAGTAGAGGGAAGCTTTTCTTCCCTCCCTTCCCCAAGGCGACTCTGTCCAAAAAGTTCCTACGTGGACCCCCTGGGCCCACATCTCACTAAGGTCATGATGGAGAGAGCTCTCGGCCTTTCTGCCCCACCCCGCCCTCCCCCGGAACAGGCACGGCCCTCCTGCTCCCGCTCGGCCTGTGTTCCTGGGCCAGGGCAGTCCAGGGCAAGCTCTCCCCACCAGAGCCTCCACTCCGCTCAGTCAGGGGCTGACAAGGTAAGCCTTGGGAGGTCGAGTGCACCTGCGGGGTCAGGGCACGGGGGTGGCCTCACCGGGCTTTGCTCCCCCTGTCCTGTGTTCTCCATATCGGGGGCTCCTGCTGCTTAAGCTCAAGCCCGTGCTGGGTTGCGTAGTGAATCCCATGACCTAAGGTGGGTGGTGAGTTCCTGGGTATGGCGGGTCCTCACCCAGCGCGGGACATCCAGACAGAGACACGCTGGGCGGAGCCTGTGATGGCAGCAGCAGAAGCTGAAATGCTGCGTCCACAGCCGCGAACACAAGGATGGCCTGCCTGCCACGGGAAGCCAGAAGAGGCTGAGAAGGCCACCCCCTGCCCCCAGGTGGGCACGGTTCCGTACCCCGGCCTCCACGCTGAGGGGGTTCCTGCACCTTCAGCACCACGGTCCTGGCACTTTGTTAGGGCTTCCCTGATGCGAGGCCCTGTGTGGGCACCCGGGGTACCGGCACCGAGGGCACTTGTGGGGTGCTGCCAGGTCACTCAGGGATCCCACTGAGTGCAACTCGGGAGGGCCGAGATGCCAGCCTCCTCACCAGCACCCGGGGAAGCCGGCGTGGCAGTCTGGCACCCTGCCTTTGAGCAGCCCGGCTTAGCACGGTGGTGTCCCTGGAGCATACACGGGCAGCAGGGCACCGAGGACTGCGCTTCCCTCTGCCACCCGGCGCTGCTAGTTATAGGATCACACTTAGAGAACCCTGGCCTACGGCTAGGAAGCAAAGCCATTCTGCAATTGAAGTGTGTTTCTAGGGAGAAAGTTCCAGTAAACTGCCTGACGAGATCTCAGTTGAAAGGGACACCAGTCGCCAATGTTCGCATACTTTTCTGTGAGTTCTTTCTTTTTTTGTTTTTAACTTAAAAAGAAAAAAAGTTTTTGCCATAGGGCACATGTGATTACGGCAGAGACAGTGAGAAGGAAAGTGAGAAACCGCCCCCTGGGGGGATCCGCCACTCTTCTCCTGGGATCTTGGGCAGGCATGCCTGGTGTGAGATTCAAGTTACCAGGTCTGGGCCTTGAACTGCAGTCGGCCATGTGGGAGTCCAGCAATATAACTGCCATGCCATCTACACCTTCTTAAATACAGGTTAAGCACTCTAATCCAGAACCCCAAAATTTTTGGAGAGATATTTACTATAGGTCGTATATGCTTGCCAGAAAGAGACAGAGAGCAAGAAATCAGCCCCCGGGGAGATGGCCATGGCACAATCCCTTCTCCTCCATTCTCTTCTTGGAATTTTGGGCACACACACACACACACGCGCCTGACACAAGTTTTAAGCTGCTGGGTCTGGGACTCAAACCTCCGTTGACTATGTGGTAGTTCAGTAACATAACCCTTACTCCAGCTGCTGGTCCCAAGCCCGAAATTTTAAGTGCTCTAAAATCTACAACTTTTGAGCCCCGTCACGATGCCGCAGGTGACAAATTCCACAGCTGGCCTCCCGCAATGGGTCGCCGCGAAGCGCTGTCATAAAAGAATCTAGCGTTACAATTGCTTGCAGGATGCGTGTAGCTCGGAGACATACGTGGGTTTCCTATGAAGTCCTGGGTTCCAGCTTCAAGAAACCCACCTCATACATGCAAATATCCGAAACCCGGGACACTCATTATGTTCCATCTCATCGCATGTAACACAACACACCTGAGCTGGGGGGGTTTAAGAGAACACAGGTTTATTCAGCTCGTGGTCTGAATGGTCAAGCTCCGGGGGCCACCTCTGCGGGTCTTGTAGGATCCTGAGATGTCACATGTCATGCGCATAGCTGTGTCCGCCCTACAGACCCACCAGGACTTAATCCTGGGGGCCCTGCCCTAATGACCAGAACCCTAATCTGTTCCCACAGGCCCCACCTCTCAACACAGACTGGTTAAATTCACCCTTACTCCCATCACAACCAAATTTCAACACAGAAATGCTCGGCTTCTGACCCGAGCATTTCAGATCAGGGACGTTCAATCTGTATTCACTTCCATGCCTAATTTTTTTTCTTTAAATTTGTTTACTTCTTCCACAAAAGAGACACCATTATCGTGGTTTGGATGAAAAAAAATGTTTGAGATTTTTGCTATAGGGCATGTGACCTCACTAAGAGACACGAGAAATCACACCCCTTGAGGGTGGGGGATGGCCACACCCACAACCCCTTCTCTTCCATTCTCTCCTTGGGATGTTGGGCACGCACACACGGGTGCCTGACTTGAGTTTCAAGCTGCCGGGTCCAGGGCTCAAACTGCGGTCAACAATGTGGGAGTCCAGTGCCTTAATCACTACGCCACCTGCTGACCTATGAATGAAAGATTGTTCCCCAGTTTCCTGTTTTGAAACTTGCCACAGGAGGTGGTGCGGCCTGGTGGGCGGTGGCTGGACTGCGGCGACTGCCCGGTGGAGCTGGTCTCAGGGTCCAGGGATGACTCACAGACCAGCGAGTCCCTGCTCGCTGTGGATCCATTCTCGCGAGAGCTGGCTGTTGGCGCTGTCAGACTCTTCCGCCGCACATGCCGCCATCCCCCACGCTTCGCTGCCGTGCTGCTGGGCCTACCCCTCCAGCCTTTGCAGCTGCCGGTACTGAGATAATGCTGGGTTTTATAAACCCCGTCTCAGTGCCCGTGCTAGCGGTGCGCAGATCACAGCAGCCCTGGGAAGGGTCCTCACGCTGCGATCCGCCCCGGCCTGGCCAAGCCAGCTTGCCCGTCCCGGCGCCCAGCTTGTTCAGGGACGTCTTAGGACGTGAACCTGGGACCCTCGGGCCCCACTGCAGAGCACTGCGCTCCGCTGTGCCACCCTCAGCCCCTCCCCCTCGTACAAAAGTACTCTCACCCAAGGGCTCCCAATGGTGGCGGCTTCAGACCCCCGAGCTGGTCCACCTCTGCTCTCGGTACCCAGCGAGTCCTGCCCAGATTGGTCCTGGAGCAGGCTGTGAAGGGACAACGTCCTTGAGCAAACGAAGCTGCCGGTCCGGTGGGGGGCACAGGGCACAGGTCTGAGCTGCCCGTGGTGGCTGGTGACAATGGCCCCCGCCAATCTCTGGCTGCTGCTGCGTGGGGAGGCTGAGACCTTTGGATTTCCAGAGCTGAGGCCCCAAGGTTCAGGGCACCCTCTGCCTGGGCCTCTGGACTGTCCCCCAGGTCCTCCCCTCGCCAAGACTGACGAGGAAGAGGCCTTCCCTCCCCCACCCCAGGGGCTAAGTGGCAGAGGGCCATGAGCCTTGGTGGCACCTGCTCTGGGCCAGATGGGGCTGGGTGGGCCCTTGGACTGCCCAGGGCTGCTGCTCAGAGCAGCCTCCACACCAGCCAGGCTCCCGCCCAGGACCCCACCTCCCTGATTCACACCCAGAGCCAGAGCCAGAGCCAGCCTTCACTCACACCTCTGCCACAGCGCTGCCAGGGCGGGGCTGCCAGAGGCGGGCCCTGGGGGGCTGTGGAGGGACGAGGGGGAGTCTGAGGAACTGGGCTCCCTGAGAGCAGGGGGAGGGGCAGCCCCCCACAGCCCCATAAGCACGCTTGGCAGGGCCAGCTGGACAAGGAGGTTGTGGTGCCCGCCACCGTGAGGGGACCTGGGCCCGCCACCACCACTGGGAGAGGGAGGAAGGAGCTGGGGCAGGGCCCTGGCACAAGGCATGAGGCTCAGGACTGGCTGGGCTGACTGAGAGCACCCTGGAGGGGGTCCCCCAACCCTTGGTGGGGTATGGGAAGTGTGTTCGAAACTGCGCCTGCAGTGGCAGCCTGCCCTCAGGCTGACGACAGTTGGGACTCTGATCCGGAGACAGCCCCAGCAGAGACACAGAGCAAGCCGGCCCCGCAAGACCCCACGGAGGCTGCAGTCAGGCAGCAAGCCAGCCTCAGGCTCCCTGGGGGAGGTGACTGAACCCCACATGGGCCTGAAGGCAAGAGAGAGTTGAGTGCACAGCTGCCTCCTGGGGGAGAGGGCAGGGAAAGGACAGGGCTGCTTGTCAGCCCCAGGCAGCCCTAAAGGGGAGTCGGCAGCCGCCCACAGGCCCTGAGGCCACAGGCCCACCTGATGCAAGGAGGCCCAGGGAGGGGCCGAGGGACAGTCCTGTGTAACACAGCGAGTGCCCTCCGGCTCTGCCCCTGCAGGCCTCTCCTCTCCACCATGGAAGACGTCCCAGGAAGGGGAGCCTGGTGCTAAGTGGCCAGGCCCCAAGGACAGTAAGGTGCAGATCGGGGCCTGGCCATGGCCTGCATGCGCTTCCTCAAATGAATCCAGTCCTGAGAGGATCCGAGCAAGCCCAACAGAAACTTGACAGAAGCAGCCAAGTCATACAATGATGTACTACACACACACACACACACACACGCGCACACACACAACCGGCTGTGGCCCAGTGGCCACCTCCAACGTGCACACGCATGCACGCACCTATCCAGGTGTGAATGCACACCCCGCCCACATGCACACTGCTCAGACACCGTGCCGTGGAGCCCCAGGGCCAGGTCAGTGCTGACTGCTGACGTGCAGGGTGTAGAAGGCCCAGGGCTCCGGGACGTAGATGACACCCGGGTACTTCTTCCTGAGTACAGGGTCGCTCCACAGCCACACAACCCAGAGCACCACGAGCAGCAGGGTGAGGGCGAAGGAGTAGAAGAGGAAGAGGCCGTTGCTGTCCAGGAAGAGGAGCTTGCGCTTCTGGTGCAGGACCAGAGCCAGCATGGCGAAGAAGGTGAAGATGAAGAGGATGAAGATCTGGCCCTCGGTCACCAGGTACCTGTCGGGGCCATGCTCGGGTGAGTTGGGAGCCACAGCGGCACCCTCCTGCCAGGCCCTCCCGTGCCCGAGTGCCAGGCTGGCCTTCCAGCCCATCAGCTCTCTAGACACAGGGCTCAGTGAGGCAGGCTACTGTGAGCGGCGGCCCGCAGATGGCATACCGAGTTCACCGTCAATATCTAAATCACAATACCTACATGAGGGTTTCTGGCTTCTCTGGTCAGATCAAGCTTGTATTTCCAGATGACAAAAACTGACTAGAAGACAAAGCAGCTGCCCCTTTAGAGACAGCGCTGTTCCAGGTGCCATTGTCCCCACCATTCCCTGTTGTCCCACTTCCTGCCTATAGGATGCATTTGCTTGGTTCTCGTAGGACTGGAGTCTGAGAATGAACTGGCAATTTATGGAGGTTGTCACTGCTGTCTCCTTGAACGCTGGGACACAGTCAGATCCCGAGGGTTCCCGCAGTGCCCAGGAGCTCAGGAGGGCTGGAGGGCTCCTGAGAGGTTATCTGGTCCACGCCCCTGCCTCTGGAGAGAGCCGTAATACTGACCGCCCCGGGGAACCAGACCTCTGCAACTTAGTCGTGGACCTTGGGGACTTCTGTGACCTCTGGAGGCCTTCGTTTTCTCACTTAAGATGGGGGCACCAATAGCCCTGCCTTTCCAGGGCACTGACTAGAGCCACGCACCTCTCTTTCTGGAGAAGCAGTGGCTGCTGCTGCCCTGGCTGTGCCTGTACCGACCCGCTGGCTGGGCCAGGCCAGAAGCTCTCCCGTGCTAACCTCTTCCCCTCTTGTAGATGCCACCTGCCCCTTCTAATCCTGTCCTCGGGGAGCATATGGACTAGCCCTGGTGGATCCTCTCAGTCAGGGGACAGGCTCAGGACCGGGGCTGGCGCTGCCCAGAAAGGAGGCCCTTTCCATATCTAGGGAGCTGCCCATCAGAGGATCCAGTCCTCCCGGGCCCTTCCTGCGGTACCTACTATTTCCAGGGGAGCCTGTTTCTGGGGCAGAAGCGACAGAGGAGGGGAGGGTAAGAGTGTGGCGGAGACCTGGGCCCTTGTACAGGAAGGGGGTGGGGGCAAGGAGCCAGGCCATGGACCGCCCCACAGAGCTTTAGAGTCTCCAAGCCCCCTGTCTGCCCAGACCCTCCACAGAGAGGGGCCCATGGTCCCCATCTCCCGGAGGGGGAGGCTGAGGCCAGAGTTCCCGGGCTTGGTGCCAAGGTGGCAGGGGTGCTGGGAGCTGGGGCATGGAGGAGGGCATGAAGATGGAGAGACTGTGCCACCTCACTGGGGCCTGGGCTTCCTGACAGCACAGAGGCCAGCCAGACACTAGCCACACACCGGCTGTGGCCCAGTGGCCACCTCCACAGCTCCTCTGAGGCCCTGCCCCGCCCGCCAGGTGCCCGCTCACCAGTAGTACAGGCCGCTGGGCGCCACCAGCAGCAGCGCGGGCCCGGGCATCCGGCTCTGGGCCTTGCAGGCGGTGTAGCAGCCGCTGAAGTACATGACGAGGATGAGGAAGAAGGGCACGTACCTGCGAGGGCGGTGCGCTCAGAGGCTGCGGCCACGGCTAGAATTACCTGGCCCGGGGGAGCCGCGGGCAGGGCAGGGACACCGACAGGAAGCGAGGCCATGCAAATGGGGACCCCCCAGCCCCGCTCACCGCACCTTGGGGTCCATCTCCACCCGTGCCCAGGATGCCAACGTCACCCAGAGACAGGTGGGCCCCGCAGGGCTGAGCCGCGCTCCGCCCGGGGAATCTGAGCACTCCGTGCGCCCCCCTTCACCTTCAGTGTGCGGCCCCCCAACAGCGCACCAAAGAACCGCCTTCTCCTCCCATTCCCCTGCCCTGACTC